ATCACAGTTCCCATTTCCCGGCCTCCCTTCCCTGCACTCGACTTCACATACCTCCTTCCCTCTGCGCCTACTCTCAGCACAAAACATCACAGCACCCATAGACACGGTAAAGCACCTAAATTATTGGGACCGTCTCGAAGCTCTCAAAGAAGTTACGCTCTGTACTGTAATGAAAGCAAGAAGGGTACCACTTAATATTTACATAGAAAAACTGACAGGCCAGGTCCAAAATTTTACACAGTAAATTTAGCAACATACTGGAGCGAGCGATATGGAAGGAAATGCAGAATAGAGCCAGTGAAGAACAAAATTCAGATCACTGTGAACATCAGAGGTCCACGGTGTTCAATATCCTCCCAGTAATTATAAGAAATGTTGTCAGGACAAGAGAGTATTTCAAGAAAAAAATTGACAGTTTCCTGGAAGAAGTGCCGAACCATGTTGTAGTGGATATGTACTTCTCCACGTAACAGCCTGTTGGCCCAAGCTCTCTCAAGTCAAGCCTGGCTCCAAGCCACCCCTTGTGGAATAGAAGAACTCTCAGAACTCACTCCAAGTACAGCCCCCCAAGCATACTCTTACAGCATTAAACATCACATCCCCTGCCCCCCCCCCCCCTTCTCTACATTACGTTCACTGGATGAAATATAAAACATGTATTGTTGAATTATTATGAGCAATAACATAATAAATAAATTATGAAATAGTGATAAGAAATATAAGAATATCAGTTCGAAATAAGCATAAGGTGGAAAGAGCTGTACTTGAGAGTAAGCGTTGTGAAGCCTAAGTATGAGTACCATAAGTGTGTTTTGTAGCGTAAGTATGATTAACTGCACACGTTTTTGAGCTTAATTCAGAGCACAATAGACGTGTGTGGAGGTTTTGAGTGCGCCGGGTCGGAGTGACCACTCCGTAGCCTACATACCGGCTGGCTGCGGTCACCGGAACTACTTAGCTGGAGTCCAACACATAATCCAGATTACGTGCACGATGGCGGTGCCGAGTACCGCATTTGGGGTTGTTTTATTTCACAGCATTATTACGGAGGTGACTTGCAGGCGAGAGAGGGTCAATGTGTTGGCGGCATCACCACCCTCCCAGACTGGTGCGGTGGGGGGCGTCTGGGAGCTTCCCTCGCCTCATTATTGGTCCCATACACTTTAAAGAATTAGTTTCAAGATTAATTTTATTTGTTGAATATATATATAGAACGTGGTTAAGGATTTTGGGAGGATGTTGCGGTACGGCGTAATGTTTGGGGACCAGGAAAGGTGAGATGTTTGTCTCTCCAGCAGTGCCGTCGCCGCCAGCACGGGATGGCCCCAAAGGCACCAGAAGGCGGCTTCCGGCCAGGGTAAACTTGACCATTATTACCGCGCCTCCAGATCACACATTACAAGAAATGTATAGACACAACAAATATAATATGAGCCGCTGGCATTACGAGAACGCACATGATGGCTGTGTTACAATGGCGTGTTTTTTTATATAATTACTTATAAGTCTAAGGATGCAGGTACTGGGCGTTTTACATTTTAAGTTATTAAAGAAGTTACCAAGATAAAAACCTGATGGAAAAGGATATAAATTAGTGAATTTACGTTATGAAAATATTATATATAGCATTATTTGACTTTAATGTGATTACATAAGGACAGTTGGGGTTAGCCTCACTCAACTGTGCAGGGTCAATGGTTTGGGGTACGGAACGGACATAGGCTAGTCAGGGACGCCAAAATTCATAAGGGGACAGCGTGTCATGGTGACATACTGACCCACACGACGATTTTTGGCACAGGCCATGGCTAAATATTTTGAAAATATAATTCAAAATTATTATTTTTCTTACGGTAATATACAACATAAATGGGTAAATACTGGTTCGGTAACAGGGTTGTCGATTCGTGAAACCAATTATCGTGTAACATAATAGACGTAGGACTCTTGATTGTTTCAAGCATAAGTCAGACATATATATGAATTAGTTTGGGCGGATATAAATAGGAGCTGCCACGTATGGGCCAATAGGCCTTGAGCAGTTTCCTTGATTCTTATGTTAAGAACATATTATTCACCGATGTTGGGAAATAAAAAAAATTCTGCTATTCATACTTGGGCCGTAGCACCATAAAACACACACCTTCAGTACAGCCTCCTCCTAATCCCACAATCCATTCCTTCCGTAGACCTGGCTCTCCACTTTTACACAGATTCAGTACAAATGGGTAACTATTCTATTTTTTTCATTAAGTATTTAAACTACTGAGACTTGCTCTTATTGTGTTGGGATAAGAGGTGAGCAAGGAGAGGGGAAAGGTGGATGGGGGAGAAACAGACTTTTCTGGCATATATGGCTTTCTGGCAGGACTGGCTTTTATGTAAATTCATTAACGTTGATGGTTTGCAGTCTAAACTATCCCAACAATAGCAGAAACATAAATGATAAAACTCTTGACTGAATTTCTCAATATTAGATAAGCTTATATTAAATTTTGTTGATGTAGCATGTCTTATGGCTAAGTGATTAACACGGTTTACAACTAATTGAACCAGAGTTCAATTCCAGTACAGGGAGAGACGTTTGGGCACATTTCCTTACACATTATGCCTCTGCTCACTTAACAGTAAATACGTACCCGAGAGCTAGGCGACAGTTGTGAGTTGTGTCCTTGGGAAGGTCAGTACGGGAGCCTTTATTAGTCTAACTAGCTTCTCGTTTCCGACAATGGGAACCACGTTGTGGAACTCCTATCACCCATTCTTCTCAATTATGAAATACAATGTCGAGAACACACGGCTAACTCGCAGGTTTCCAGTGCTTAATTTAGTTTCTAAATTCGCTACAAAAATAATAATAAAAAAAATTCCAACCACAAGTTAAGTGTCATTAAATTGGATTGCGAATATGACCATGATAGGGAGGTCGGAAGAAAACGGGAGTGTGTGAAATCCAAGTGAGGGGAAGTAGCTCATCAACGTTATGCTCTGCCAGCTATCCAGATCATATGCCGACTCTTGCTGGTGGCTGCTCCGGGAATCAAAGGAGGGACGATGATAGATGAGGGTTATGAATATAGGGCATTTCAATAAGTCATATCAACCTCCGAATCTGTTCTGAAAAGTAAATCGGTCGAACTCCGGAATATATATTTAATTTTGGCATGTATTTTATGGTTCGCCTCTGACACAGACCCACATGGTCCTCATCACGACACACTTCGCTGTATTGGTATCAGGGTTGCTAGTGATATTTTATTTTTATAATGACATTAACACCTAGCGAAACTATAATCAACCCTTAAATTCATTAATCATTCGTAATTTGTATCAAAGTTGATTTCAACTAGTAGTTCGCAATCATTTGCAATTAGCCAATTACTGGTTTTGGATATTAAAACCTAGATTTTAACCAGGTCGTCGTCTCACCTTGGGTCCTAACCTGACGACCTTATTGGTAGGTACATCGTGGTTATATATAACTTTTTATATAAAGGTAAATAACACAAGATAAACTATTAAGCTTGCATAAGGATTTTTATAAGTAATAAATATGAAACAAAAATAAAATATATGATAAATGGCCCTTAATTAAAAAAATGTTTGATAAAACAAAAAATCTTTTGGAAAACTGTTTTTTCTTTGTTAAATAATATACAATATAACGATTATATTTACATCAATTTACAAGGGAAAATACTACATTTATATATAGTTTATATAATTATCAGTAAACTAATTTTTCATATTACAAAGTATCACAGCCGTAAACTCTTAAATGTTATACTTGAACCTGCCTCGCATGAACTTTAATATTTTGTCTACTGAGTAACCCTCTTGCCTGCCTATCCACACACATAAAATATAATCAGACAGTAGCATAATTTTTGTATTCTTATCTTTCTTGCATTTTGCCAATATGAAACATTAAAAACCTCATTAAATCCACTCTACTACTTGGTCCACATAAATCTTTAAGACTGTCTGTAATCTAGTTTACAAGAACAACTTTCTGCTTACAGAAATATAATATATGCGTATTATTCTCAATTTCAATACATTGGTCACAACTATTGTTAGCCTTAATTCCCAACATCAACAACCTATCAATAGTAACGAAGGTCTTATGAATATAGCGATACAATAGTTCACGTTGTTTTGGGGCAATAAATTTAACATGAAGGTTTGCCCATATTACTCGCCAGTTAAATAGTGGATATGCCTCTTCTACTCTAGGAACTAAATAAAGGAGCAGAACATGCACGTGTGTACTGTTCATCATTAAAAACTTTCATTACAAATCTGCCTGAGAACTTCAATTGCACAAGAACATCCTCATCCTGAACATTCACCACCGAGTCTTCTGTTGACACAAAAATAGTGTTATAACGTTATACGTTATATGCGCAATGTTTAAAAATAAATCCGTATATGTCGTCCAGTTATGTGATTCTCTCCAGAAGATAAAATAATGGAATACTTCCTCAACTGAAGTATAAAAAACAAAAGCACGTACAACACTAATAGTAACCTCAAATAATTTAACATTTCTCTCCATTAACGTTCAGTTGGAGCTTTAGTCTTTATGTCGAACACCTAATTATCCAAATATAGTTATGGTATCATTTAGCCATTTTCTCCCCATAGTGTTCCAGATTTAAAAGTTGAAAAGATAATTCAGATTTTGCCTGCATTCATAATATACTCGATTTGCTTCCTTTTTGTGATAAACCATGGTATATATTAGTGCATAAAATAATAGTCATTATCGGTCAGTTTGTTAAAAGAATTTGTAACCTATATATGTACTGTACAGTACTTGATCTGAAATATCATAAACCATATCGATTATACTGAATAAAGCACAGTCGTACGCAATATTTTGCTATTTTTGTATGTCATATTACTTACAATGATAAAATCTTGACCTTGCACTTGACTCATAGTTGTTCGTATTGAGTTTTATGAAGGTAAAGTATTTTTGGCTGGTCAGTTTTTTTTTATTTCACTTGAGGTGCAGATACAGGTGAGGGCGAACTATGTCCTGTTGGTCCATCACCAGACTGATGGACGTTTGCTGTTTCACTTATGGTCTTTCCCTTTTCACAGGTTAGGCCAACTTCGCTCAATTGTCCATTTTCTGACTTGGAGTGAACTTGTTGATGCTTCTGCAGAAACCTTTTATTTGAGAACATTTTGTCGCACTGGGTGCACGAGAATCGTCTTGCATGGGTCATTATATGTTTCCTGAGGCGGTATCCACGCAATTTTCTTTCACAAATGTCACAATAGCAATATTCCATTTGATGCTCCATCCTGTGGCACAAAAAACTGCTTTCAATGTCGAAAATAACACCACAAATCCCGCATACATTACATTTCATAGTGTTTTGTTTTTTAACGCAATTGTGTTTCAAGTGTTCTTCTGGTTTAGGAGGGTTCACCTCATGGTTTTGTTGATCATCTGTCAGAAGTGTTTCCTCAAGCGGGCTGTGATTCGAACTGTCGTTTAGGCTGGCCATGTATTTTTCCGAGTGAGGACTGTCTTCGGTAAAGTCGCACTCATGACGATGGAGGTCTACAGCCTCGGTGAATGCAGCATCACATGCCACACACACGTAACATTTTGTGTTTCCGTGCTCTTTGACATGATCTTTTAAATCGTCTTCGTATAAAAATAAGTCATCACAGACATGGCACATAAAACAAAGTTTCGCGAAGTCTTCGGTAAACACAGTTAATGTGATTTTGTCCATGGTAAATATTGATATTGTCGCAAAGTCGAAGCGTCACAACTGAAAAAAAAATGAAAATTATATTAGGAAACGCATTCAGGTTACTTCGTATACAAGTGGGTTTGCAACAAATTTTATAAATTACTTAACTTAAGCCGTCTTAACCAATCCAAGTCTAACACACCCTAAGTTATTTCGAAATCGCTTAACAGCGTAATGCTGTTTATCCTAACGTATATTCCGTTTTTCAAGTAGAACACTATATTTGTGTGATACTCCTGTTTAGGATTTGATAGTGGTACAGCACCACTCTGAAATGAGTATCATGTAAGACGAATGTTTGAAATAAAAAAGTAATATGGATATATACCCAGCATTTCGTTGGTCATTAAGCTATCGTAGTGGCCTTAATAACCCTCCAGAAGTTGATAGGCCTCAAATAAAATTTTAAGAAGATTAAATTAATTATGTCTAGAGTGATGAACTTTATTGCGTCATATCTAAGACATTGTATAGTCCCGACGCCTTACTCTCTCTGGTCCCCTCACGGTACTCCCCATTAGAGTGTTGCTATCTTGAGGTTATCTTGAGATGATTTCTGGGCTTTAGTGCCCCCGCGGCCCGGTCCTCGACCAGGCCTCCACCCCCAGGAAGCAGCCTGTGACAGCTGACTAACTCCCATGTACCTATTTACTGCTAGGTAACAGGGGCATTCAGGGTGAAAGAAACTTTGCCCATTTGTTTCTGCCTCGTGCGGGAATCGAACCCGCGCCACAGAATTACGAGTCCTGCGCGCTATCCACCAGGCTACGAGGCCCCCTAATGTTTGCTATTTACAAACATTTCACTATTTCAAGCTCACTGCACTGATTTACACAATTTAGTAGCAGTTTCACTTGTTTCAGCAAGTCAGATTTGAGCTATTTTTTTTAATACATCATTCATTGGGCACCATTCCTGTGCTCCGCCCTATCCTAAATCTTCATCCCTTCGCAGAGTTATATAGTCGTAATGGCTTAATGCTAAATTATGATACAGTTTGTAAGTTAATAGTCGTGGTAATACATTAATAATACAAAAATACTATTCCATCAAGAGACCTAAGCCAAAGTGGGCCTGATAATGTCATTTCTGTATAATGTATGGTATCTTTCGTCTAAATTATCCATTGGCTATCTTATGTGTTACATTTAGAAAGGAAACAATACAAAGGAATAGTGTAAATGTTTTAGGCCATTATTTTAGAAAAATACGTGTTAGCTACTTGATACATATGCCAGAGTATACCGACCTTCCCTTTATTTCACCTCATTTTTATTCTTGTGCAATTGATGTTCTCAGGCGAATTTGTATTATTGAAGTTTTTTTAATGATGAGCAGTAAACATGTGTATGATGTTCTGTTCCCACATACTTCTTAGAGTAGAGGAGACATATCCCCTCTTTAACTGGCGAGTAATATGGGCAAAGCTTCCTGTTAAATTTATTGCCCCAAAACAACGTTAACTATTGTATCGCTATGTTCATGAAACCCTCCTTACTGTTGATAGGTTGTTGATGTTGGGCATTAAGGACGACAATAGGTGTGACCAATGTACTGAAATTTATAATAATATTCATATACAGGTATTTTATTTCTGTAAGCAGAAAGTTGTTCTTGTAAACTGGATTACAGACACTCTTAAAGCTTTGTGTGGACCAAGTATTTGAGTGGATTTAATGAGTTTTTTAATGTTTCATACTGACATAACATTTAAGAAAATTAAGAATACAATAATTATGCAATAAGAATACAGCAAGAGTTCTTCATCAGTAGGTTGGCGATCTTCTTGTTTTTGTAGTAAATTGTTAATTGTTTCTTCTGATTGGTGTTTTCACCAATCATTGGTGTCTTCACTAATCACACCAATCAGAAGATACAATTAACAATTTACTACAAAAACAAAAGAACCTACTTATGAAGAACTCTCCAGACACCAAACAGAACGCCTTAAAAAGAGACCAATGTCGTCTATCCCTTCACATGCCCACTTGGGGACTAATATATATATATATATATATATATATATATATATATATATATATATATATATATATATATATATATATATATATATATATATATATATATATATATGTTGTACCTAGTAGCCAGAATACACTTCTTGGCCTACTATGCAAAGCCCGATTTGCCTAATAAACCAAGTTTTCCTGAAATTCAATATTTTTCTATTTTTTTCTTATGAAATGATAAAGCTATCAATTTCATTATATATGAGTTATTTTGTTTAAATTTAAGTTACAACTAACGGAGATATATGAACGAACCGAACCGACCCAACCTAACCTAACCTAACCTAACCTAACCTATCTTAACCTAACCTAAACTAACATAACTAAATCAATAATTTATGTTCTTAATATAATATAATAAAAATATTTAAAATAAATCAACTGGAAACATTTTATTGAAAATAAAGAAAATAGCTCGGCCTATTAGGCAAATCGGGCCTTGCATAGTAGGCTGAGAAGTGTGTTCTGGCTACTAGGTACGATATATATATATATATATATATATATATAACTTTTTAGACACTCAACCCACCAGGGGACTCGAACACTGGCCAACAAGGTGGCAGTTGCATGCTGTATCCACTACGCTATACTTCAAAGCCATTAAGAGAGGTAGGAATTCTGGGGTATTTAACCAACCAGAATTCCAATCCTCTCCCAGGCGATGAGATAGTGTGGGACCTCGGATGCTCTTTCATCGGTTCCTGTTATATGGGAAAACTCAGTGCCAAATGCTTAATGCACAGACTACCCTATTCCAGTAGCTGAAGTTTATAACTTTTTAGACACTCAACCCACCAGGGGACTCGAACACTGGCCAACAAGGTGGCAGTTGCATGCTGTATCCACTACGCTATACTTCAAAGCCATTAAGAGAGGTAGGAATTCTGGGGTATTTAACCAACTAGAATTCCAATCCTCTCCCAGGCGATGAGATAGTGTGGGACCTCGGATGCTCTTTCATCGGTTCCTGTTATATGGGAAAACTCAGTGCCAAATGCTTAATGCACAGACTACCCTATTCCAGTAGCTGAAGTTTATAACTTTTTAGACACTCAACCCACCAGGGGACTCGAACACTGGCCAACAAGGTGGCAGTTGCATGCTGTATCCACTACGCTATACTTCAAAGCCATTAAGAGAGGTAGGAATTCTGGGGTATTTAACCAACCAGAATTCCAATCCTCTCCCAGGCGATGAGATAGTGTGGGACCTCGGATGCTCTTTCATCGGTTCCTGTTATATGGGAAAACTCAGTGCCAAATGCTTAATGCACAGACTACCCTATTCCAGTAGCTGAAGTTTATAACTTTTTAGACACTCAACCCACCAGGGGACTCGAACACTGGCCAACAAGGTGGCAGTTGCATGCTGTATCCACTACGCTATACTTCAAAGCCATTAAGAGAGGTAGGAATTCTGGGGTATTTAACCAACCAGAATTCCAATAATGTATAATATATATATATATATATATATTATACAGTTGGAGGTGATATGGTGTATGAGGGCAAGGAACTGGGATCTGAGGCTGGAGTGAAGGAACGGGTCCCAACCACTTGGAACCATTGGGGAGGATCAACCTTGCAAAGGGTCATCACAGTACCGACCAGTACAACTGGACCACACGGGCAAATACGTTCCTCATGAGCGTATATACCAGACTCAGTAAAAATAACTACTAGAGCGACATTACATAAGTTTAGCGGTACACAAAATTGTTCTTACCCATATGACAGACGCTGGTCGGCTGAGACGGATGTACACTTTGTAACTTTCTCGCATTTTCTTGGACACGCTTTGAGTATTATATGTTTTTATTTAAATTATATTTTCGATTTGTGCTTTAATTCATGCTAAATTGTAATTACTGATTGGTATACAAATGTAAAAGTGTTATTGTGTCTATAAATTACTTTTATTTTTTTATAAAGTGTATTTTTATTTAAACTATATTTTCGATTTGTACTTTAATTCATGCTAAATTGTAATTAATGATTGGTATACAAATGTAAAAGTGTTATTGTGTCTATAGATTACTTTTATTTTTTTATAAAGTGTATTTTCTGATAGATTAATATTTAGAGTTATATGCTGTATCAGTATATTTCCCTCAAGATTATGTGTAATTACTATATTATGCTTTATTCTTTATTGAAGAATTCGTTACTATAATGATATTACTGTTTCTATATATATATGGAATATATTTAATTGTTAAAAACTTCCCCGCATTGTTTAGAAGTAACTAAGGAATCGTATTTAAGTAACTCATTGACTGTCAACAAAATATTCACTCACAAAGGAGAGTGAGGACGTTGATTATATTGTTACACAGGGCAATAAGATTTGCTAAATGCTAAGATAAGATAATATCTTATCTTAGCTAAGATAAGATAATATCTTAGCAATAAGATTTGCTAAGATAAAAATGCTCATATTTATTACCACACAGAACATAGGATCATATAAGACAAGTGGTCTATTTACAGATTTTAACAATCACTATTAATGTAACACTAATATGTTTTGATAAAAATGAGTGAAAATAAGCCAATATTCTCTCCCTGTCTAATGTTTTAAGTATTTTGCTTTAGGGAGTATAAAATAAGGGTATTCCATCGTGTTGATATATCTGTAATATAATCATTATTAGGGAATAACAATTACTAGTATTTACCTCCACAAGCTGTTTACAAGATGTTCAACTAAGTACCATAATAACATTAAGATGTGCAATATCACCATGTTCATAAATCTTAAATCTTAAATATAATAGATGTGTAAATTTACTTTATAACTTTTTAAATTTGTTTAAATCCCAACATCCGCTTTTGGATTGAGCTAGGCTTTTTTTTTTCTTTTTTTTTTATTAACACATTTAGGTACATCTGCATTTGTGCAGCTGCCCTAGACTATATGAAGGGAAGTACGGCGTGTCAAATAACAAGCTACGTGATGCTAAAAATCCCCATCACAGAGGATTGTTAGTCATACAAAAGCATGTGATGAGTCTGCACTGGCAAACTCTGTGGGAATCATGAGGATATCATTAACACAAGAGTGAATAAGGTGGCAGTGATACTGAAAAGTCCCCATCTAGCACGATGGTTACTGATACAGGGCCATACGTTCAGTAGCCTGCACTGACAAATTTTGGGTACAATATGAGGATATCCTTAAGAACTCCACCCACTAAGTGGCTCCCAGAACTGAAGGGGAAAAGCTACGAGGAGAGGTTAAATGCATTAAATATGCCAAAACTTGAAGATAGAAGAAAAAGAGGAGATATGATCACTACGTACAAGATAGTAACAGGAATCGATAAAACTGATAGGGAAAACTTCCTGAGACCTAGAACTTCGAGAACAAGAGGTCATAAATTTAAACTAACTAAACAAAGCTGCCGAAGAAATGTAAGAAAATTTACTTTCGCAAACAGAGTGGTAGACGGTTGGAACAAGTTAGGTGAGCAGCTGGTAGATGCCAAAACCGTCAGTACTTTCGAAGCGTTATACGACAAAGAGTGCTGGGAAGATGGGACACCACGAGCGTAGTTCTCATCCTGTAACTATACTTAGGTAATTACACTTAAATAATTGCGAGAGTGAATGAAGAAATTCAAATTAAGTAATGATGCCAGCGGATATGAATGGTCTGATAACTGGACATTCGGTGATGAAGTGTGCAAGCTCATGCCGCAGTTCCTGCTCACAGAGTTTGCACCTGGAGTGCTCAGGATTGGGAGATCGTCACCTGTAGCTACCTGCCACAGGTAACGGTAACCCAACTTGATCCTGGCAACCACTGTGTCGCACAGTCTGGTGGACGTTTTGTGCTGCCCATAAACGTAGGTTTCAGATCTGAACAAATCATAGCTTTTTTTATACTGGTGCTTTCAGGTCGTTCGGAGTCAGTAATTTTTCTCCTATCAGACCTGAGTGTTTGTACCAATATAGTTTTGACAACAGAGATGGGGATACCTTGGTCTAATTCAGCTTCATCTTTGTTACACGCTAATTTGGCCGAGATGTCTGTGTCATTATGATGGGTTGAGCTAGGCTTGCCATCTTTATTAATTTTTACAAAATTATCAAGTTTTGACTAATTCATTTTGACTTTGAATTATTTTGACTAAGGCATTTTGAAGGGTAAGTAAACTATAACGTATTAGCCTAATAAAAATATTTATTAAGTTCTTGTAATGTGTCACATTAATACAAACAAAAACAAATCTTTATAAAAAATTATATCAGACAAGTCAGGCTTCGTTTCCATTTTTCCTTACATTAATAATCTTAAACTTCATAAATAAAAAAAAAATTACTCAGCACTTTGGATTAATATTAACATTCATCCTAATAATATTTTTAAAATTACTTCTACTAGAACAAGTTGTTTTATTTCCTGGTAAACAAGGTATTTCATGTTTATAATTATTTAAAGTATTGGATCCCTCAAGTTACAAAATCAAAATATTGCATCCCTCAAAATCATTTAGTATATTATTTTATTTTCTAAAAGTCAATTTGCAAATGACAAAATTATGCGCCAATTGAGCAACTTGTAAAATACATAAATATAAATGTTTCCTCGGAAATGACCCGCTCCATAAAACATCTAAAGGAATACTTCCTTAAAGTACTGTATATAAAATAAAATGCGTGCTTCTCTCTATGTCAAACTATACATTTTTGTCACAAATCTCTTTCCATTACCATCCACTTGAAGCTTCTGTCTTTATGAAATTATGTGGAACACTTAATTTGTCACACGAAAGCATATTTGGTGTCCGTATGCCATCTCTCCATAGTGCTGATTTTAAAATTGGAGAGAGAATTCAGATTTTAATTGCACTCACAATATTCTCGAGTTGCTTCCTTTTATTGATAAACCATAGCATATATTAGTTCATAAAATAATAATTATTGGTCATTGTCGGTCAGTTTGTCAGAGGAATTTGTGACCGATATATTTGATTTGAAATAACATGATTATACTAAATAAACCACATTCGTACGTAATATTTTGCTCTTTGTATACCATACAATGATAAAATGATTTGCAATGATAAAATCTTGACCCTGAGCTCGACTCATAGTTGTTCGTATTGAGATTTATGAAGGTGAAGCATTTTTGGCTGGACAGTTTTATTGTTTCACTTGAGGTGCAGATGCAGCGGAGGGCGAACTATGTCCTGTTGGTCCATCACCAGACTTCTGATGAACGTTTTCATGTCTTTTTAGTCAATCTTTTTGTGTGAATGTTTTGTCACATTGGGCGCATGGGATCCTTCTTGAGTGCAAAAGTAAGAGTGTGGAGATTGTATTTCATCAGCATTTTTCTCACAATAGCAAATGGTGATTCTTTGGGTCGGTCAGTCTGCTGTTTCACTTGTGTAGACACAGCGGAGGGCGACCTATGTTCTCTTTATCCATCACCTGAATTTAAATGAACATTTTCATGGGCCTCGCTGTGTTCTCTTGATCCATCATTATACTTAGAATGAATCTGTTCATGTCTCCACAAACTCCAACTTGTTGCTAATGTTTTCCCACACTGGGTACACGAGAACCGTCTTTTGTGTGTTTGTAAGTGCCTATAGGTATTCCTTTTCAGGAAACTTTTTCTACAAATGTTACACTGCCACTCTTGTGACTTGTTGGGCTGGTCAATTTGTTGCTTCTCTTGTTGTTTAGGCACAGTGGAAGGATCACATTCTCTTGATCTATTTCCTGGCTTTGCATGAACTGTTTCATGTCTTTTTAATGAGTATTTGCGTGAGAATATTTTGCCACATTGGGTACACAAGAACCGGTTTGTGTGTACCAGTAAGTGTTTCTGGAAATTGCATTCCTTGAATATTTTTCCACAAATATTACAAAAACAAATTGGTGAATTTTGGGGCTTGTTAGTTTGCTGTGTCACTTGTGGTGTAGATACAGAGGGGAGTGATCTATGTCTTCTTTGTACATCACTTGACTTCGAGTGAGTTTCTTTATGCTTCCATAAAGTATAATTTGATTTGAATGTTTTGCCACATTGTGTACACGAGAACGATCTGCTATGTGTCAGTAAGTGATTCTCAAGAACTAATTGCCTGATTGAATCTCCATGCACGTCACACTTCACAATTTCACTTTGGTGCTGGAGCTGATGGCATTGGAAGTTTTCCTGCGTGAAGAAAATCTGACCACAAGTCTCGCATATAATATTCTTTTCGTGCTTTTGATACTCATTCTTTTCCAGCTCTTGAAAAGAGGAGAAATAGTCTTGGATGCAGCATGTAAACAAACTATTTTTCAGGTCTTGAGCATTCATCTTAGGGTTTTTCGTAAACGAGTTACGAGAAAAACTGTCATTTGAGGAGGTGTTGATTACCTGTGTTGGGGAGGAAGCACGTTGGGAATTTGTGTCGTATGTTTCAAAGTTAAAACTGTTTGTTTTAGTATTGTCCTCGTGGCGGTGAAGGTGGTCTGGCACAATTTCCACACACACGTAACATTTCTTGTCTCCATGCTTGTTGGCATGGTCCTTCAAGTCGACTTCGTCGAAGAATATATGATTACAGATGTCACAGAGGAACCAATATTTCTTTTGTCTTGCATTAAACTGAATTAATTTGCTTTTTTCCATGACAAAAGATGCTTTTTCTCGCCCAGTCAAAACACCAACTCTGAAAATACAATAATTCTTGAAATTGAATATCAAAAGAAAAAAAATGCAATTTATTTTTTATTTCATAAAATAAAAATGAAAATGAAAACATGATACAAAGTTATGACATAAAATATGTATGTATGTATGTACTATAGTTCGGATTTTTATTTTGTTTCACTGGCTTTCCTTATTCACCCTGCAATAATTAGTACCCTGTGAGTAAAGTGGTTAACGGGCAGTGTTTTATGAAAAGACAAGAAGGGTAATGCTTCAATTGAGCTATGGGAAGGTTCTTAACCTGAAAACACTGAGCAGTGGGAGTGTTAGCCCACCAACACTGATCTGTCACATAATGAACTATTGTGATAAAAGATGTTATTATTAAGCAAGTAAGGCAAGGTAATTATGAGGAGAAGGCGCTAAGCCATTATATATTACTTGGAAGGAATATGAGGACAAGGAACTGGAATATGAAGATGGGATGAAGGGACTGTGCCCACCCACTTGGACCATCTAGGATCAAACTCTGACCCTGTACAATAGAAGGCTGTTGCTGTACCCACCAGCCAAAATGGATACGTAACATAGCTAGTAGATATTGGCACTAGCTGGTACATGAGTTGTACCACTCTGTTAAGGACGCTCACCTAATTGTGCTTGCGGGGGTTGATCTCTGGCTCTTTGGTCCCGCCTCTCAACCGTCAATCAACAGGTGTACAGGTTCCTGAGCCTATTGGGCTCTATCATATCTACACTTGAAACGCTGCTTCACAACCTGTGTGTGGGGTTTTGGGGTACAAAAGACGATGTCTTGTACATTTCACTATAAATGTTCTATAAAAAAATGATAGTACTGTATCGAGTAGCTCTAGGTTCCATTATTTTTGGAGAAGGGGTTGAAATATTACCAGCTGCGACTCTTAATATGGCACTTGGGCTGGACGGTAGAGCGACGGTCTCGCTTCATGCAGGTCGGCGTTCAATCCCCGACCGTCCAAGTGGTTGGGCACCATTCCTTCCTTCCTCCCGTCCCATCCCAAATCTTTACCCTGACCCCTTCCCAGTGCTATATAGTGGTAATGGCTTGGCGCTTTCCCCAGAAAACTCCCTCCCTCCCCCCCTCCCTCCTAGCATGGGACGAAAGACTTCCCAGCTCTCAGGTGAGTGATGGTAGCTTTTGAGGCGTCCGAACAACGGAAAACTTAGAAAGGATTAGTTGTTCTCTGAGTCTTCTGAAATTAATGATAATCATTCCCTTGAAGAATGATTATACCCTTGAGAATGGGAATGAATGAATCATTCCCTTGAGGTCAATAAATATTACCCACAATTCCTGTGTTTATCTGACATTAGAACAGGGTATTCCAATGCTTGAAAAATCTTGTGGCGTGGATAGACAATAGTAAAAGAATAACATGTAAAAATTGTCACTAAAAACATCATGATACAAGCGAATATATAACATATCCCAGATTAATCATTTCATAAAGCAACAACAATATGTATAAGGGCATGCATCATATACTTGAAATAGCAATAAAGTGATATGAAATATGAGAAATTTAGGTGTTAGAGTGGAGGTCTCACCGATGGCCGGGGCGGCTCAGGCGACACTGGCGGCCATCTTGTGCCAATTTTGTAATTTTCATGAACAATTACGAACATTATTATACTTGATTTAGATTTTCCGTTTAATTTTTGAAATGTAAAGCGTTTTAAGACGCATTGTGATTAATGTGTAACGTAAAAAGGGTTATTAGTTGTTTATTGAACATTTCCGAAAAGTGTATAGCCTGATAAATATGTCTGGGTAGCAGGCATCTGTATATTTTCTAAAATTAGTTATTTACGTGTTAAATCTGATGCTTTATTCGTAAAAAAATTATAGAAATCGTTTCAGTTTATATAAAAGCAAAACATACTGTTTGAATAACGAGACTCAATTGAATTGTTAATGTAACAGGGATCTGACGTATAGAAAATTAAAATGGTTTGTTAACAAGTCATATTTTTGTGACAGGAATTTGTTATTAATAATAAGTATTCATTATCAAGTGGCATTCGGCTTTCACTGTTGACTGGTGTCTTATGCAAAACTTGGTACAATGTTTCTTCAGAGTTAGTGTACAGTAATAGCTCCAGTGTTCCCCGCAGAAATCACTACCAGAACAGTCTCCAACAAAGATCAAAACTACCAGAACCTTTCAAGCAACAACTATCACCACAGCCATCATCAAAACAACTACCACCACCAGTTCACAGTCATCACTGAAACAACCACCACCAGTTCACAGTCATCACTGAAACTACCACCATCAGTTCACACTCATCACTGAAACTACCACCACCAGTTCACACTCATCACTGAAACTACCACCACCAGTTCACACTCATCACTGAAACTACCACCACCAGTTTACAGTCAACACTGAAACTACCACCACCAGTTTACAGTCAACACTGAAACTACCACCACCAGTTTACAGTCAACACTGAAACTACCACCACCAGTTTACAGTCATCACTGAAACTACCACCACCAGTTCACAGTCATCACTGAAACTACCACCACCAGTTCACAGTCATCACTGAAACTACCACCACCAGTTCACAGTCATCACTGAAACTACCACCACCAGTTCACAGTCATCACTGAAACTACCACCACCAGTTCACAGTCATCACTGAAACTACCACCACCAGTTCACAGTCATCACTGAAACTACCACCACCAGTTCACAGTCATCACTGAAACTACCACCACCAGTTCAATAATAAATAATACATTTATTAATAATTTATAATTTATAAATAATAATTTATTACTGTATTTAATTTAGAATTATGATGATAATAGTTTTCAAATTTAGTCTTAAATTTCGGTTTAATTCATGTTAAACTAGAAACAGACTAGAACAGAACTGTACCAGACAGCGTCCCTGAATTCCCTTTGCAGTTGTATATTTCGCTGGAATTTCTATATTTTCCCCATTCTTTTATTTCTGGCAAGTACTTGTGGGCGTGTATGCTTGTATAGTATAAGACAATTATGGGATGTGTCAAGGATGATTAGGCTTGTGGGGACGCCTAATGCATGGGGGTAGAAAGCTACTAACTAAGCTACTCTATCCCTTTGAGATGTATTTTTTTCTTGTCTCAATAAACATACTTGACTCACTCTGCTCACTCTGACGTCCCCAGCAATACTTTGAGGCATCGTAAGGGCAGATTGAAGTACCTTGATTGCTTTCATTATACAATTTTCACGCTTGGACTAGTTACAGTTATTAGTCATAGAGATTTTTTTTTATATAATTATGTTTAGTTTAATAAGATTTATATTTTTTTCCATATGGAGGTTGCAATGGTGGTGGTGAGTGTGACTGAGACAGGGGGTGGAGGAGTGGTTGCCCCTGCCCCCAGCCTGACACACTACCCTGCCCAGTACACCCCACAGTACACAGCACCCGGCAAATACCCCCCGGCCAAAGGGGACTATCCTCCCGGGTACGACAGTGACTCCAGCAGTGACCACAGCAGCAGCGGGCGAGGCAGTGGTGGTAGTGACCTGGGCAGTGAGGTGGACAGGTGGGTGAGCGGACAGTACCGGCTTGTGTTGTACATATTTATTACCGAATGTTAAATGACTTTGATTAAAGAACATTATGGTTCAGTACCTGAACCCATTATGTAATAACAAGAAAAATAGTAATCTTTATTTACTATAATATGTGTACAAAGAACATAAGAGTAATGTACATTTGTAGGGACAGGAGTAAAATATACTAGTGAACCCACTATTACGTAAAGCGTTTTGGGCAAAACTTCTCTGCCACCGCCCTAAATGTAACTAACCTCCTCTATAACTCAACCTCAAATGTATCTAAACCTCTCTGTAACTCAACATCAAATGTAACTAGCCCTCTCTGCCGCCGCCCACAAGATGGGTGTCGGAGTCCATAATAAAGCAATTCAACATCATGTTATCTCTCAGGGAAGGTTCCCGGTTGGAGGACAGCGGGCGGTACAGTGCTGACGGGTGCGAGGGCGACCTCCAGCCTCCCTCCTCCAGGAACGACCCGGCCACCTCCCGCCAGCACCGTCGCCACCAGCAGGAGAAGCACTCCCCTACACACTCCACCACCAACACCCACAAACCCACACAGTCCAAGCCAGCCACAGACGAAGGCAAAAACCATGGGCAAAAGGAACAAATTAAGGGACATAGGTAAAGTAAGCGCTTTGTTGCCACAAATTGCCAAGTTTTAACTGACGAATCGCTTAATGCCATACTGGCTTAGCGACTTCTGATAATTATTTCAGTTTACAGTATAATCAAATATTTTGTTCAGTTTCCTTAAGAATATTGTAGTTTATTCATAAGGACGTTATTTCTATATAATTGTATAGGCTGTCAGGCAAGAATAAGACATAGGGGCAAGACACTGCCCTTTTTGTTAGGACAATATAATAAAAAGTTGTAATGATGTTGTGATTATCGACAGGCCAAGTCCCAGAAGCGTACCCATCACTCATCCCCCAGTGGACGCCCCTCTCTGCGTCCAGTGCGCCCGTCGGGACCTCTCCTTCTTCGACCCCGGCTGTAGTGGGTGTGCTGTCCTCCTGCGGCGCCCCTCCACCACCCCCTCCCACCTTTTTGCCATCATGAGGCAGTGGGTGCCGCAGGTCCAGCACAACATTCATCAGCTCATTGGTCAGGTTGGTTCGCCGCGTGTATCTCGGGTCCAGGAGCTGGAGGTTGATGTGGTTAATCAGTGACGTTGAGACTGATGTGGTAACTGTTAAGCTAATAGATGACCGATGGGAGAGGTAGGAACAGTAAGGTCCCCGCCAGTAGGTGCAGGTCCCTACCAGTAGGTTCAGGTCCCCACCAGCAGGTGCAGGTCCCCGCGTGTTACAAGACACGGATGCCAAAAAAAAAGTACTCATAACGGGCAGGTTGTCCCTACTTTAACGTTTGTTGACAAAATATAAAATAAAATAGTATACTGAGATCATTTTGAAAGTTAATATTTCATTGCTACAAGTCAGAAGTTTCTAGGAAAGAGTTCCTGTTTTATTAATGTTTAGTGCGTGCATTTCTTTGCGAGAGGTGATTACAAAAAAAACGATGGCAATAAAAGTCGATGTTATGACAGATAGCGGCAATGACACATGGATAGTTTTGACTGGCTCGTCTAATGCACTGGTATATGGGTATTTTCTTGTATTATGAAAAAATTAACAAAATCACAAGATATTATATGAAATTCCTAACCATCAAAGAATATAATGACCCTGAATAGATTCAGCTTTGTTGACAGTCAGACCAATATGAAGGTGAGAACAGAAAGTCCAGGGGCCAGATTCACGAAGCAGTTACGGAAACACTTACGAACCTGCACATCTTTTCTCAGTCTTTGGCGGCTTTGTTTACAATTATTAAACAGTTATTGAGCTCCGAAGCACCAGGAGGCTGTTTATAGCAATAACAACAGTTGATTGGGAAGTTTTCGTGCTTGTAAACTGTTTAATAAACGTAACCAAAGCCGTCAAAGATTGAGGAAAGATGTACACGTTCGTAAGTACTTGCGTAAGTGCTTCGTGAATCTGGCCCCAGGTCCTGTTGACGTCACTTCTCCCAGACTCACACCAAATTTGTTATCCTGAAAATTCTGACACAAACTTCGTGGGAGATAAGTCACTTTGTGATAACCATCACAGTGAGAATAATGCCGAGTAAAATGTTCACATGATATGGACTCGTTATGAAAGTGAAAAACAAAGCGAAGACTGTAACTTGAGAAAGATGGTGACCTTGCTTCTCTACGTCTCACTTGCGAGTGAATGTCATCTGTCTTTGCGACCCGCCATTTAGGTCAAAGGTTGTTGCAGATTTTTGGTTTGGAGCAGTTCATATGCGTATGATGATACACCTATGGTGTATGATGACACACCTATGGTGTATGATGGCACACCTATGTTGTATGATGATATATTTTGCTCTGACTTTGCAATTAAATCATGTGTTTCATTATGCGCTTTACCACATAAATGTGTGATCATACATTGCTTCACATCAGGCGTTTGATAATTCAGTTTCCCTTGTAGCAAGTTTTGGATAATTCACTTTTCCCTGAAGCAGGTACTGTATAATTCACCTCCCCTGCAACTGGTGCTGGATAATGCATCCCCCCCCCCACCCGCTGCAGCACGGTGTACTGTATTATAAATCATGATAATGCAGGTGTCTTGTCATCCTTTTTGTTTTGCTTCACACATTTTATTATAAATTTTTACCATATTGCAGGTGTTTTATCATTCATTTTAATATATATTTTACTATGTGACAGGTGTTTATTATCCTTTTTGTTTTCTTTTAGTCTACAACTTTAGTCATATATGTTGCAATTGTTTTATCATACATTTTACCACAATACAAGTACCTGATTTTACATTTTGCCACATTCCAGGTGATTAATTTATATACCCCGCTACAGGTGTTTGAGCATAGAATGTTGGCAGCTACAAATATTTTAGTATGACTTTGTGTTGCAGGTGTTGAGTATGGGGTGCCACGTGGATGACAGAGACGCCTTGACGGACATGACACTCCTTCACTACGCTGTCAAGGCTGGCAGTACAGGTGTGGGTGACCCAGCTACTGCCCTGCAGGTGAGTGCTCTGTCACCTCTCTCCCAGGTGTGTCATCCGTTCTTCTGGTGAAGTGTGTGTCTTAAGAAACCTAGATAAGGAGGACTTGAGAACGCTCTTTACTCTTGACTATGCAGCACCGGTAGGGAGTTCACACCGAAAAAAGCATACCTTAAAATGAGGAAAGTGCAGAGAAATGCCACTAGACTTGACGCAGAACTGAAAGAAATCACCTACAATAAAAGGCTGTGGGAGCTCAAACTCGTCCACGTTGTAGGAAAGGTGAATCACGGGGGGATATGATGATAATGAACAAGATACTAAGAGGAATAAAATGGGAGAACAAATAGGTAATGGTCAATTGGAGAAATGATAGGAGTGTACGGGTGGAAGCTGTATAGATGAGCTGGAGACGTCATGAAAAGCTTCTGCAACATAAGAGTGACAAGTATATGAAACGGTCTATGGTAGGAGATCCTTGAGACAAATACAAAAAAATGACAGCTTTCAAAAGGAAATTTGACGAAAAAACAGGAGAAATTTAAGTTATTTCGTTTCTTGATCAGACGATGGAAAGGCGGGGGCAAGGTAGCAATTGATCGACACTGTAAAACACACGAAAGTGAACATATGTGAGTACACACACACACACACACACACACACACACACACACACACACACGGGGGTCTGGTAGCTGATTGGACAACGCGTGGGACTCGTAATCCTGTGGCCAGGATTCGATTCCCTGACTAGGTAGAGACAAATGGTCAGAGTTTCTTTCGCCCCTGATGCCCCTGTTACCTAGCAGTAAATAGGTACCTGGGAATAAGACATGTTACGGGCTGCTTCCTGGGAGTGTGTGAAAATATATTAGTAGTTAGTAACAGTTGATTGACAGTTGAGAGGCGGGCCGAAAGAGCAGAGCTCAACCCCCGGAAGCTCAACTAGGTGAACACACATAAGTACACACATAAGTACACGTTACTGATGGTGTGCGTGACGACATGCGTGATCACGTGCGTGTAAGTGTCGAGTAATGAGGAAAGTAACGTGCGGAGGGCAGTAACCGGAGCATTACTGACACTTTCTCCAGCCGGATCATTCATCGCACCTCTTGGGCGATGCGTCCAGGCGTGCTATCACCCTCGGCTTGCTGGGGCTTGCTGACACCCTGGGCGAGCTGACACCGTGGGAGTACTGACACCCTGGGCGTACTGGCACCCTGGGCGAGCTGACACCCTAGACGTGCTGACCCTGGGCGTACTGGTGCCCTAGAGCTGACACCCTAGACGTGCTGACACCCTCAGTGTGCTGAGCTTGGGATAACTCTGACACCGTAGGGGTGCTGAAGGATGGGTAGCCACCGTCACCACAGTGTTGGGGTCGTGTGCACGGTGAAGGTACTGCACGTGACGTACTGAAGAGACCCGAGACGACACATACGTTATTTAACTCATTATTCAAGATGTTATTCAACACATTACGTGCGTTACTCTATGCGATATTCCACACATTTTCTTCCAAGTGATACAAGGACGTAAGCGCGGAGACATCAGTAATAATACTAAACCATTACTTCTCAGACGGTGACGTAATTCATTTTTTTTGTCTGTATTAGCGGCAGTGAATGTGTGTGTGTGTGTGTGTTTACTATTTGTGCCTGCAGGATTGAGCTATTAGCTCTTGGACCCCACCCTTCTAGCCGTCGATTGAATTGTTTCCCGATCTATTTTCCTCTATCATAGCCTCTATGATAGACACTACACACTGCTATAATGTGCTGAAGGAGCCTAACATGTACGCGTTGAGTCACTATATTGCAGCAAGGACCTGTACACCTCTTACATGTCCACTTACGAGGTCTCTACCTCGTACCTCCATCATGGCGGCTTAGTCGGTATTTACTAAAGTTTACATCCTCCAATGCACTACGAGATCGTAGGGCTTAGGAGACCCTTTTAGGATAATCTGTGTTTATTTCAGAAACCCGTAGACTTTGTTTGTAAAGTAGGCTGTGTTTTCCCAGAAACCTGTAGGCTTTGTTTGTAAAGTAGGCTGTATTTTCCCAGAAACCTGTAGGCTTTGTTTGTAAAGTAGGCTGTATTTTCCCAGAAACCTGTAGGCTTTGTTTGTAAAGTAGGCTGTATTTTCCCAGAAACCTGTAGGCTTTGTTTGTAAAGTAGGCTGTATTTTCCCAGAAACCTGTAGGCTTTGTTTGTAAAGTAGGCTGTATTTTCCCAGAAACCTGTAGGCTTTGTTTGTAAAGTAGGCTGTATTTTCCCAGAAACCTGTAGGCTTTGTTTGTAAAGTAGGCTGTATTTTCCCAGAAACCCGTCCGCTCCGTTTGGTTCAGAAACCGTTGCTGCTGATTTGCCAGATTTGTGAAACAATACTGGAAAGTGAAAGTTGAGGTTTTATCTAAAATTGATGAGTGTAGGAATGGACTACTTATGATGCTTCAGTTAGCAAGACTAGGTGTTACACCAGCGCTGACTAGGGGGGTGTGGGGGATGGCTTAATGGACCAGTTGAACTTGTTAGTGGTCATAATAGAGATTAATGTCTCATATTTAGTCCTGCATTAGACATAGCAGCAGTTGTTGTTGTGGAGTGGTTGCAAGGGAATTATGGTTGATGAGGTTGGGAAATTTGATGGTGGGTGATTGGGAAATCTAAACTGGTTACTGGGGAGTGTGCTGTCTGGATTGTTGACACACCCAAGAGCTGTTCAGCGCACGCGCACGCACACACACACACACACACACACACACACACACACACACACACACACACACACACACACACACACACACACACACACACACACACACACACACACACACACACACACACACTGAGTTTCTTAAGGTGGTGGAGGCCAAGACCGTCAGTAGTTTCAAAGCGTTATATGACAAAGAGTGCTGGGAAGACGGGACACCACGAGCGTAGCTCTCATCCTGTAACTACACTTAGGTAATTACACACACACACACACACACACAGGGGCCTCGCAGCCCGTATGCGAGGGGGCTGCGTAAAATGGGCAGAGTTTCTTTCACCCTGATGCCACTTTTCACCTAGCAGTAAATAGGTACCTGGGAGTTACACAGCTGCTATATACTGCTTCCTGGGTATGTGTGTGTGTAATTGACTAAGTGTAGTTACAGGATGAGAGCTACGCTCGTAGTGTGTGTGTGTACTCACCTGGTTGTACTCACCTAGTTATGCTTGCGGGGGTTGAGCTTTGGCTCTTTGGTCCCGCCTCTCAACCGTCAATCTACTGGTGTACAGACACCTGAGTTTCTCGAGCTCTATCATATCTACGTTTGAAACTGTGTATGGAGTCCAGCTCCACCACATCACTTCCAAGTGCATGCCTTTACTAACTACTCTGACACTGAAAAAGTTCTTTCTAATGTCTATGTAACTCATTTGGGTACTCAGCTTCAGCCTGTGTTCCCTTGTGCGTGTACCACCCGTGTTAAATAATCCATCTTTGTCTACCCCTGTCAGTTTCCCTGAAAATTGTGTATGTGGTAATCATGTCTCCCCGAGCTCTTCTGTCTTCCAGCGACGTAAGGTGCACTTCATGCAGCCTTTCCTCGCAACTCATGCCTCTTAGTTCTGGGACTAGCCTAGTGGCATACGTCTGAACATTTTCCAGCTTCGTCTTGTGCTTGACAAGGTACGGGCTCCATGCTGGGGCCGCATACTCCAGAATTGGTCTTACATATGTGGTATACAAGGTTCTGAATGATTCCTTACACAGGTTCCTGAAGGCTGTTCTGATGTTAGCCAGCCTCGCGTATGCCGCAGATGTAATTGTGTGTGTGTGTGTGTGTGTGTGTGTGTGTGTGTGTGTGTGTGTGTGTGTGTGTGTGTGTGTGTGTGTGTGTGTGTGTGTGTGTGTGTGCACGCGCGTGTGCGATGTAAGGGGAGAACGCCTGCTGGTGTAAACATGAGTGTGTGTGATGGGAGGGTGATATACCTGCCACGCACTAGTCTCCATTACTCAGTGAAAGTTTACCACCACCATCGCCATCGCCATCACCATTAACCTTTGCACTTTTTATTTTTTTTTGCTTCGCATGTTGTGGATTCCAGGCCGGTGCTGCATATTCCTGCATTGGTCAAATCAGAGCTGAGTAGATTGTCTTGAGAGGGGGGTCCTGGTTTAGGTTTCTGGACGATGTTCCGATGTTCACCTGCGTCCTCATCTGTTGCTGACGTCACCCTGCTTCTGCTCTTCCTCCTTCTTCTTCTCCTCTATCTCTCCTCCTTCTGCTCCTCCTGCATCACTCCAACACACACCATTGTAACCTCTCAGAATGTTCGGTAATACGTTTATTGCTTGTGATGTGTTTATATGTATGTATTAACACGATGTACTGAACGGGGTGAGAATAGCCTGAGCTACCTCATCCCTTTGTGTGTATTTTACCTCAATAAACTTATTTCAATTTTAATTCAACCATTGTAACATCTGATATACAGTATATATAATGTTCTTAACATTTGTCTAATGGGATTTTACTCTTGATCAATCTCTGGTGCCTTGCTGTTGTGGTATATTATGTGCCAGTGTTTTATATTATATAATTACCCTGACTTGACATCAGAATTGAATCTGGTCTTGAGCTGCGATTGCGTATTAAAGTCAAATTTGATTGTCACAGTTTTTTTCATTTGAAGTTTCATTACTCTCACATTGCTAAAAAGTGATAAAATGAAACAGTTGATGCATGAAGTAAGTTAGCGTGACTCCAATCACTTGGGCTCGACGGTAGAGCGACGGTCTCGCATCATGCAGGTCGGCGTTCAATCCCCAACTGTCCAAGTGGTTAAGCACCATTCCTCCCTACCCCACACCCCAAATTCTTTTTCTAATTCCTTCCTAGTGCTATATCGTCCTATTGGCGCTTTCTCCTGATAGTTCGGTTCCCTTGAGCCAGGGAATATATCTAACCAAGAAGTATGAGGTTAAGCAAGGTGAAGCATGGGCCAGTACGCCTTTTACAGTA